GCTGAACCTGCACAAAATAACAAAGTTTAAGGCCAGTGGCACTTTTAAGACGAACAAAGATTTATTCTGGGTATGAACTTCCACATAAAAGTTTATACCCAGAATAACATTTTGTTGATCTTAAAGATGCCACTGGACTGAAATTTTATTCTGCTGCTTCAGACCAACACAAATACCCCCCTGAATCTGTACAAAAGAGACAGGCTTCTCTTGAACCAAAAGGGAACCAGGCTGCTGGAAATTAATATCAAAAAGCAGCGTTCAAACTAATCCCGGGGAGGGGAGCCAATAGGAGTTGAAGAGTCGCCCGTTCAGGACAAATCAGTCCAAAGGGATGATTGTGAAAACACTCAAGACAACACTGATAGGAAGAAGAGTTGGTTTTTATACCCACCCCTTTTCACTACCAAAAGGAGTCTCAGAGCAGCCTACAATCTCTGTCCCTTCCTCTCCCCACAACAGACACCCTGTGGGGTACGTGGGGCTGAGAGCTCTGAGAGAACTGCTCTTGAGAGAACAGCTCCGAGAGAACTGTGACTGACCCATGGTCACCCAGTTGGTGTGGGATTATGCAGCTGCCTTACCCCCCCTCCCCTCCTCAAAACCTGTTGACCATAGCAGATTTTTTTAAGGCAGGGCTTGTTGGGTTCCCCTGGTTGATGCCGTCTGGCCACCTGTCTCTGGTTGCTGCACCTGCAGCAATGGGATGCAGCCCTGCGTGCTCCTGCTCATCGAAAGCTTCTGAAATGTGCTAGTCTTTAAAGAGCCACGAGGGCCTCTGGTTGTTGCACCTTGCTTGTCAGGCAGCAGCTCTCTGTGCTGCGCAAAACGTCTTGTGCCGATTAAGCAAAAAGTGATCAGTTAGGTGCTGGTGATGGGTGTGAGTCACGGTCAGTGGTAAAACAGCTCTGGTAACTGGCATTAAATTTTATGGCATACACGGCCTGGCCTGATAAACTGACATTTATGTCAGATTCAGCCCCTGTAACAAATGAGTTTGAGTAGCAGGAACTCCTCTGCATATTAGGCGACACACCCCTAATGTAGCCAATCCTCCAAGAGCTTACAGAGCTCTTCTTACAAAGGCCTACTGTAAGCTCTAAGAGGATTGGCTACATTAGGGGTGTGTCACCTAATATGCAAAGGAGTTCCTGCTACATAACGAGCCCTCCTCTGATATAATGGTGACCCCGAACACAGGCCAGAGCTGTAGACAGGGTGGCAGAGCTGACCAAAAGGGACTAACCACGTCTTTCCTCAACGGTGACTTCATTACCATGAGCAGAGAAGGAGTCACAGTCACACCTCACAGCATGGAGGAGCCAGACAAGGAGACAGGGAGCCTTACCCAGAGAGGCCACGTTCCCAAAATTCTCCAGCATGACTTGCTTGTAGAAAACCCTTTGAGCTGGGCTCAGCAGGACCCACTCCTCCTGGGTGAAATACACGGCCACCTCTTCAAAGGACACGGGGCCCTGGGAGGAGAAGAAGAAGAATGCAGTTCTTTCCAGCACTGATCCATGAGGAAAAAAGCAACATGGGTATTGAAACCGTTTCTGAACAGTGGCAGCCAGGAGGGGATCAGAGCATAAGAACATAAGAGACGCCAATGTTGGATCAGGCCAAAGGCCCATCCAGTCCAACACTCTGTATCACACAGTGGCCAGAAATACCAGTGCCATCAGGAGGTCCACCAGTGGGGCCAGGACATTAGAAGCCCTCCCACTGTTGACCCCCAACCAAGCACCAAGAAGACAGAGCATCACTTGCCCCAGAGCCCCTATCTATGCCTTGTGGCTAATAGCCACTGATGGACCTCTGCTTCGTATGCTTTTCTAATTCCCTTTTGAAGCCGTCCATGCTTGTAGCCACCACCACTTCCTGTGGCAGTGAATTCCAAGTGTGACTCACTCTTTGGGTGCAGAAGTACTTCCTTTTATCCGTTCTAACCTGACCGCTCAGCAATGTCATGGAGTGCCCACGAGCTCTCGTATTGTGAGAAAGGGAGAAAAGTACCTCTTTCTCTACCTGCTCTGAGGCCTTCCCTTCCCTGCTCTCCTTGGGCTCATCCTGGGGGCAGAAGGGTGGGCGGCACTCACAGGGCACTGCCAGCCTAGTCTCTGCTCTGGCTTCCCCCTCCTTTCCCCAACACAGAAGTGAAAAGCATGACCTCTGGGAGGAAGGCCCTTCCACAGAGAGGAACGTTTGTCTACACAAAAGCAAGCTGATATTGAGCCAGTAGGAAGGCCAGGCCTTGCCCTCTTGGGTGCTGAAGAAGACACAGAGGTTTTTAGTGTCCTCCCCTCTACCTTTTCTTTTTGCCAGTCACCCAGATTGTATTCAGCTTTCTGATAAAGAGATAAACAGCCCAGAGGGCATTTAATGGCCTTCAGAGGGCATTCAATTGCCTTCTGAGTTCCCTTCCACAGGGCAAGCTTAGAAGGGCACTCAAGAGTGGCACCTTCAATACATATCCAACATCTTTCTTGCCCTGTGAAAAGGAACTCAAAGGGCATTTGAATGCCTTCTGAGCTGTCTTTTCCTGGGTCCCATCACCCCCCCCCCCCAGGGAGAGGGAAGCCCGAGGGCCAGACGCAATGCTCTCACCCTGGCCGCCGCCAGCAGCAGGCAGCAGCAGCGGCCTCTCCTCAAAAATCAGGTTTCTAAATCAAAGCTATAAAATCCTTACCAGGTGGTACCTCATTCCTACGAGATTTCATAAAATATCCACATTGAATCCCTCGCACTGCTGGCGATCCTGTGGTGAACGAGGTACGTTCATCCATTGTTGGTGGACATGTTCAGCAATTTTGGTCCAAGGTAATTTTATCTATCAAGGATATCACAGGTTATTTGATCCCATTGCAACCTGACCTTACATTTTTAGATTATTGGAACAATTCCCATATCCCTAAACTTAGACAAGACCTTATTTCGATCTTACTGATGGCTGCTAAGGTGGTTATATCGCCAGTAGTTGGAAATCCCCCCAACAAGTTATTACTATCCTCTTGGCGTTTGAAAATCTGGGACTACTATATTATGGATAAAATTTCTGATGTACTTGCTAATGCTAATCTTTAACCACGAGAACTCTAATCTTCATTTGAAATGGTTTCCCTTTCTTGAGTTTATGTTTAATGCTGAATCATCTAAATTCAATGTTCCCGAAAAGTATTACAAACTATTTCACAGTATGTAAACCTCTTAACATTTTTTATGTCTCTGTATAACTATGCCTAGTTCCACTGTTGTTCAATGTTTTGATTGTTTTCTGCTGTTTAAAATAAAAACATTATAAAAAAAAAAATAAGGTTTCTAGCATGGCTATTTGTGGGGTGGTACTTTTAATTAAGGGGGAAGGGCCCTGAAATGCCCCACTGTAGCTATGGGCCTGAAGAAGCTTGATCGCCGTCCATCTCTGCAGTGACAACCCCCCCTCCCCCATTACCTGAAAAGTCCTCATGGCAGCACTTTCCCCTTCACCACACAGAGGAGACGGGGAAGGAAGTATCAGAGGTGTCTTCCTGCTGCTGCCTGGGAGCGAGAG